TTCATGCTTGCTTTACCATGCTAGCCTTCAGTAAAAAAGAATTACAAGCAGTTGAGTTTGTTGAAATTAATATTTCTAACGCTACCCTTCAGATAAATTGCCTATCTTTTTCTTAAATCCAAATCTTGATCCCCATCTCAAAATCCATGAAAAGAATGTGACTGGTCTTCAAGTTTAGCATACCAGTAATTCATTTCAATGGTCTAGATATATGTCAATGTACCAAAGTAGTTTTTTGTTTTTGGAAAGTGATTAAATTTATTTTTATAAATTTGTAGATTGCAATCTTTACATGAGAATGAAACCCTGTCAGCATTTGAGTCTGTTGCCTGAAAGCAGAGTTGCAAAACCTGTTAAAATTTACTCCGGGTAAAATTTAAATAAATTAAGCCTAGTTCACATAAAATCGTTAAGCAGTCGCAGACATGTCGCAGATGTCTGCGACTGTCTGCTGATTATTCGCCGACGTATTGTTCACACTAAAATCGCGAAGTTTATTACCGGATTGCGAATCATGGCCGCCATAAACCAAAGGGAATTTCTGCTGTGGAAACTACTGTTGGCTTGTTCTCAGAATGCTGTACATACTGTTCAATAAAATATTTGCATGTGTAACTTTTAAATGGTAGTGTTGTTTGCAAATATATAAGGTCCCAGTTATTACTATTAAAAAACAGATTGCCCCATTGGCTATTGAGTACTGGGCCATTCCCTGAGTGGCGTAGCCAAGAGGGGACGACCGCCCCCCCCCCCCCAATCAAGGTCTAAATCCGTTGAGAAATTGGGGGGGGGGGGAATAGTTCCACCAGTTTTCCAAGGTGATGTACTTTATATTCTTTGGAATTCTGCAAAATATCACCCCAGAACTGCAAAAATCGTGAAATCGTGTTTCAGGTACTCTAAGTTTAAAATATTTTTCGGGGAAGCATGCCCCCTTTGGCATTCGCTTCCAATTTTACAATTTACCAATTTACCAATTTCTGAGGGGGTGTGTGCATCGGCACTTTGATTTCTTTTTCTTGGGGGTTCAAATTTTACCGAACTGGTCCATAGGGGGGGATTTTTTTGGAATGGCCCACTGCACAAAATTCTTGACATAATTTGACTCAAACGATAATTTTGTAAGAATTCCTATTGTGTTCTCATACAAATACTAATATACATGTACAATCGTTAAAAATACAGTCTGATACATGTAGTTATCAAATTATACATTTTCTTCCAGCTCTTGATCATGATTGGTCGGAAACTTTGTGAGAAATCTCAATATCTGCACTTTTTGTTGTATCATTGCTGAGATTATCATAACCTGAGCTTGCAATGCTCGTTGGCATTACCTGTAGTAAACAAGACTTATGCATGTGTGGACGTAATGCTTCTGACAGATAGTTTTCCCGCCTTAATATTTCACTTTAATACTGGGTGTGTAGTGATAAGCGTTTATTTCATTTTACGTTTATACAGTTTAATTAGCCATGTAATTAACTGAAAATGTATGATAAAACAATTATTAAATTCAGCTTTTTGATATCAAGAATTATCAAGGTCTCAGTCTATGTTATCAGCTCAGCCTTTGGCTGATAAATACAGACTTCGACCTTGATAATTCTTGATATAAAAAAAGCCTCATCCAATAATTGTTTATTATTCCTTATCTTCTGTAGATAAGGAATGTAAGAATGTCCCCAGAACGATTTGACCATCTTCTAAGCTTGGTGGGACATTTTATCCAAAAGAAGCATTGTAACAGCCAAGCTTCAATCAGCCCAGGGGAAAGGCTGGCAGTGACACTATGATACCTGGCAACTGGTGACTCACAGCAGTCACAATCTTTCAGCTTCCGTGTGGGACGTAGTACAGCTTCCATGATAATAAAAGATACTTGTGATGCAATTTGGACAGCACTTAGCCCTACTTACCTTAAGACACCATCAAGTGAAGAAGAATGCATGGCAATAGCCAAGGAATTCATGGCTGAGTGGAACTTTCCACATGTTGTTGGTGCAGTTGATGGGAAACATATCTGCATTGAATGCCCAAAAAATGGAGGATCTCTTTTCTATAACTATAAAAATTTCCACAGCACAGTGCTGATGGCAATTTGTGATGCGAAGTATCGATTCACCTCGGGTCACCACCTTAGGTGACTATGGAAGAGATAATGATGCAGCATATTTTCTCAATCAGATATATTTAAAGCGATTGAAAGTGGAAAAATGTTTATCCCACAACCATCATTAGTGAATAATAAGGTTCTGCCTTATACCCTAGTTGGTGATGAAATATTTCCACTTAAAATGTGGTTGATGAAGCCCTATCCCGGGAAGGGTTATCAGAATCCCAAAATGTATTTAATTACAGACTATCCAGATGTCGACAAACCATAGAGAATGCCTTTGGCATCTATGCAGCAAGGTGGCGAATATTCCGCCACCCTATCCGAGCATCTATCAGCACTGTAGATGCTATTGTGAAGGCCACCCTATGCCTTCACAACTACCTGTGCATGACAGAGAATGCACAATACATTCCTAATGGTTTTGTGGACTGTGATAGTTCATCGGGTATGAAGGAAGGAGAATGGCGCAATATAGTTAGAGGAGGTGCAAACTCTGGTTTTCAATACCTGGGTCTGCCCACGCTTGGATGATATCTTGCATGCGTGTTGCACAACACGCGCGATCTGTCAGTAATGCATCTGTTAGAATATTCACCCCTTGTGTGAGTATTTTAGTGAATTCAGGCATTTGCTTCAAATCAAAATATAGTATATATGAGCGACATGATTATTTTGGAATATACAATGCAAAGAAGTCGATATACTATTCAGTTTTGATGTAATAATTGGCTATTTGTATAGCAATAAGTATTGTATCATTTGCGACAGCTGACCTTTGAACTGCTGATAAATAAAAGCTTCTTATAGTGCGCTATCTTGCTATTATTCAGTATTAATTGTTGACTGTTTCTTATTTTCAA